GGGGGGGGGGCGAGTTCCAGGCGCCGCTTGGGGTAGGGTAGGGAGCCGGCCGGCTCGGTGAGGGGCGACAGGGCGAGCGGGTCCACGAGGGGGGTGACAGGGCCGGGGGTTGCCCCGGCCGTAGGCGCATCCCCGGCGGGCCAGCGGCGGCGGGCCGGCGGTGAACCCGCTCTTGGGCGGCGGGAGAGGGTCCGCCGCCGCGCCCCCCCGCCCCGCGGTGTGAAGCCCGGCCGGGGGAGGCCCACAGGCCCGCGGCCTCCGGGAGGGAGGGATCTCGGGCGGGAGCTCGCGCGGGTGCCCCCCGCGATGAGGGGGGCCCTTCCCGCCAGGCCGTGTCACGGCCCCGGCCGTCCCTGAGGAGCCTCGGCCTCCCGCCGCGGAGTTTGTGGTCCAGGGCTTGAGCCGCTGCCCTACGCGTTATTCCCGCTCGCTCGGTCTGACTTGCACGGAACATCTCTTCCGTGGTAAGTTGCCTTAATGCATCTCGAGCTGCTTTAACGCCTGTGTCAGGTGATAGGACTTTTTTTTTTCTCCTCCTTTCCTTTCAAGGTCCTACATTTCAGCATCTTCACCTTCATCTCTCACCTCGTCTCTTTCTTGTGTTTTACACACCTTTCTCTTCTTTTGGTGCTTTCTTATTCCTCACTCCATTTTTTCCCCTTTATACCCTAACCCAATGACAACCTGTCCGCCCCCTACGTATTGTCCTTGCTTTTCAGTGTGGGAATCTAAATGTTAGGCCACTTTCCATCAGTTAAAATTTCTTCTGTCACGTTCATTTCTCTGGTAGGTGTTTTATTTGCTGTCTTTTCTATGAGAAACAAAGGGGGAAAATGATTACCCCATAGTTTTGTTTTTATACACAGTCCTTGAGTGCATGGGGCTCAGGTGTATCAGATTCACCAACAAAAAAGTCCATATTCTCAAGCTCTATGCTTGGTATTCTGTCTTTTACTGCTTTTACATGCTACTGGTCACTTGAAAAGTAATGCTGCTGAGTCTTGTGTTTTGTTCCAAATTTGCCCGTGTCTTATCCATCTGTCATATAATTACTTGCAAAAAGTAATTAATTGGAAAACCTGACTTGTTGAAAGAACTTTAATTAATGTTCTGAAATTCTTTGTGATGAAACATTCCTACAGAAAATACAGCTGGTTTTACGATTTTGACACATGAGTTCTCTAATAGTAATGAGACTAAATACAGTGTGTCATCAGTAATTTGCCCGCTCATATCTTCCTGTTGATGATGTTAAGCAGATGGTGGTATCTGTTTTATCAGAGAGAAGTCCGTCACTTGAAATAACCTGTTAATCCTAGTAAGTGAATCCTAGTATCTTTAGCTGCACTTAGAATGGTCACTAAGTGGCAGAAGGATATATTTCTGTTGCATACATTAGTACTTGGCATGAGATGTTTTTGTTTTCCTGGGTTTAGAGGCTAAAAGTGTTCTGTGATTAAATCTCTGGGTTATAAATAGCCCTATGTATTGGGCTATTTCTGTAGCTCAGAAGGTTTTGGTGATCTTCTTTGATTTGCCTCTTTATTTCTGACTCCCTGGAAGAGATAATCCTTTTCTCAGAAGTCTTATTTTTATTCCAGTAAGGTGTTTATGAACGGATGTATGTATGCACATCATACTTGTGTCAGTTTTGACTTTTTTTTTTTCCCAGAGCTCTACAAAATCTTGCAGTTTTCATTTCTGAAGGCGAAGGTTGAGAGTGATACTTGGAACTGGTGTGTTTAAGATCCTGATCCTCGTTTGAAGTGGAATGTTTGTGCAGTTGACTTTTCTGTTGCTATGTTTTGCTGCCAATGTATGTTTTTATTCTGGATATAAATATTATAAAGGATAAAACAGGAGCCTGAGTCACCCGAAAAAGAATTTGGAAACCTAGTTAGTTTGATTCAATGCTTGTAGTAGATTTTTTTCCTCTTGTGTTGTGTGGAATGTGACATACAAATAAATTGTCAGGAACTGTTGGGAACTCCACGGAGCATTTCAAGTACTCCGGTAGTTTTGGATTTCTCCCAAAGCGGAGTTAGCTTTGCTTGTCTCAAAAAGTTGGTCCTGGCTGTATTGATAGCTGCCTAATATTGGTGAGGATTCTGGGAGGACTCAAAACCTTGTAAGCTTTTGAAATAGGACACAGAGTATTGCTGTTGTATTAGAAGGGAGTCATAGGTGCATCAAACAGGCTTCCAGTCAGCGTTGTTAGAGGCAGTAAACCAGGCAGTGAAGGGTGGAGCGGCTCTTGGAGTTGAACAATGCTGTTCCTGTCACAGCTGGCAGGGGTCACTGGAAAGCAGTGGACATTATTTCTTTTCCAGTTCTCCAAAGTTATATATATTGTCTTCCCAGGCTTTTTCGAAGTATCATATCTTCTACTTGTTTATAGTAAAAATTTTGTTAACAAAATAAAAACATCATTTTTTTTTCCTTTTCTCAGGACCCCTGAGAGTGAGAGTGATGACAGTCACAGGGTTGGTTTTATGTTTTGGGTTTGTTTTTTTTTTGGTCTGTGAGGAAGTTCTTTTCCTAATAAACCAACATTACCCAACATATCTGTTGTGTAATAAAAATTGGTGAATAAAAATTCACCAATGTGAATTTTTAATTAGGTTTGCTAAGGACACAAAGCTGGTACAGTTACTTTCTTTGTCCATCTTCTACCGTTTCAGTAACTTCAGTCAGTCAGACAACGAAACCAAATTTAATGGCAACTGAAAGACATCGAGTACTTACACAGTGACAAATTTATAAAACACTTGTCAAAAATACCTGTCAAAAGTTTTATGACTTTTATAACTTCATATTTATTTTGGACCCAAATTAATGTTTTCTCCCAAAGAAAGGCAGTTATAATTGAGTCCCTTCTTTCCTCAGAAGGAGAGCAAATAACTGTTGGCCAGTCTGTGTGCTAAGTTCTGAGCCATTGCGGTGTGTACTGCTACTGGCCCAGCCAAATAGCTGGGGCAGTCAGTAATATGGGTGGGGGGTAGGAAAAAAAGTGTTGGGTGAGGTGGAGAAGGAAAATAGGAAGCCGTGGCACGGTGGTAAAAACAGACAGACTTAATTGTTTCTGCCCACGGAACAAACTAGACTTTTTTTTTTTTTCTGTAATGTTTTCATGTTTTATGAAGGAAACAAAACAAAACTCTTTTAGGATACCTCTGTCAGAGGTACTGCTCCTTCTGACTGTTCAAGGACAGTTGACCGTTACTTACTTTGGGATATGAAAAATAAAAGACTTTGAAAGCTTTGAATACCATGTTTTCTCTCTTGAGTTTACTGTGCTGTAATTCATAAAGGTCCTTCTTGCTGGGTACAGAGGAAACGGTTAACTGCTTGAAGAAATTATATTCAAATTTGTAAGGAGAATGTAAGAGCTTAATAAATTGCCTACAGGGGAAGAGTTAATAGTAATTAAGGCTATAATATATTACGATGTAGTGTTTGGGTATCCTTTACATTTAATCATAGAATAATTTAGGTTGAAATGGGTTGCTGTCCACGGTCATCTATCTGGTCCAACCCCATCTCAAAGCAGGGCCAGCTTCAAAGTTAGAGCAAACATGTATACATATATAGCGATACCCATTATGCTGTTAAGAAGTCTGGAAATATAGCTTATGTTTGTGTGTTGTTTTTTTGTTTTGTTTTGAGGGGAGGAGTTGAGGGGAGGATATTGAAGAGTTCATCGAGGTATTTTCTCATTTCTTAATTTAAATGTGCAAAAGGGATTTTTTCCAAATTCACTTCTGCTGGGAATACTCTTTAAGTGAGACGAGTAGCGTTCAGTATTTAATTCTTTGTTCATTTGAGGTGGTCTTGGTAGATGTACTCCAGAGAGACTAGATGGTTTCCTGGAATGAGTCCAAGCATTGGATTAAGCTCCTATTTGCAAATACATTTGTGGTTCTTGTTCTTAAAAAATAAAATACAATTGCGAAGTGGGAGAAGAAATTAAAGCAATAT